ACACAATCAAACATGGGAATGAATCGTAACACTGAAAAGACAAAAACTGAAGGAAGGAGCCAGTTAAGTAGAAAGCTGAAGAGTTGGCTGAGGAGGATTGAAACATAGAAAATAGGATCAAGGAGTAGAGCTTTGTCATTCAATGAGATTGTCCAACTCAGTTCCCTGTGTGTGAAGAACTATATGTAATACCACCCATGAGGGGCAGTCTTGGTGTACTGGTCATAACACAAACTAGCAATTGCGTGCACCAGGGTGACAGACCACAGAGTGGGTTCAAATTCCCCCTTCCCTGGGGGAGCACCTAGGGAACAGTCATCCAGTCTCAGTGAGATCTGGGCTCGATGTTGGATCTAGGAGATGGTGTCCATCGAACCTATCAACCCCACCTTCAGAAGAGTCCCGCCTGGAATCTCTGCTGGATCTTAGCCCTTCCGGATCGCATTGCCACCAATTCTCCAGTGAGCAATCTGCCCAGTCCATGGGCACATGGCTCAGAACTTGATAGCAATGCCCAAGAAAGGATTGGGGGAGTGGTGAACAAGATGGTGGGATGGACCGAAAATCGAAACAATGAATTCCAGTGAAACTTTGCACATCACAACAGCAGTGGTGCTTTTCCAAGAGAATGCCAATACCCTTGCTTTTCCCACCCCCGTCCATCCCTGGGAATTAATGTAACTCCCCCTGGAGAGGTGCTATTGAGAGAAAGAGATTGACTTATCTAAGACCGACGTGACTCACCCAATACTCTCACGAGAATGCTGTTACTGTAGGCTGTTGTTTGTGTCAAAGTTTGGCATCTGTATTCCACATTATGCTCTATGCCAGCAGTCTCAATGGTGTAAATCTTCCCCCTGAACTCTTTGGTAATGTTGTTTATGATCCACTTATATCTCACTGAACGAAGCTCTCCACCGGCATCACAGCTAAGAACGATCCGGTCGCCCGTTAAGAATCTCTCCCACATTGGCTCCATCGTGAGCACGGGTGTTCCAGTCTCTGCTGAGGAACCTAATGCACAGGAAAACAAAAAAAAAAACACAAGGGGAAGAACTGAAATTGTCTTGCTGCCGTAGGATGGTTAGCTTGCTGCTCCAACAATTCAAGCAGTCCACGTTCAAGATCTGGACAATATCCAGGCTTAGGCTGTTGAGTGGCAAGTAAAATTTGCACCACACAAATGCCAGGCAATGACCACATCCAAGAAGAGAGAATCTAACCATCACCCCTAAAATTCAATGGTGTTATCATCCCTGAATCCCCCACTGTCAACATTCTGGGAGTTGCTATTGAGAGAGGATCTGACCATCATCCCCATAATGTTCACTGATACCTCCCTCCACTATCAACATCCTGGTGGTTACCATTGAGAGAGAATCTATCCATCACCCATCGATATTCAATGGTGTTACCATCACTTAATCACCCACTATCAACATCCTTGGGATTACTATTGAGAGAGAATCTAATCATTTGTCCTTGACATTCAATGGTATTACCATCACTGAGTCCCCCTGCTATCAATATCCTGGGGGTTACCAATGACCAAAAACTGAACTAAGCTCGCCATGTAAATACATCGGCTACAAGGGCAGATCAGAGGCTGGGAATCCTGCAAGAAGTAACTCACCTCCACCACCATTGACATGGCACAAGGGATAGTTAACATGGTTTTGTCTACGGAAAATCATGTCTCACTAACTTGACTGAATTTTTTGCAGAAGTGACAAGGAAGATTGAAGGCAGAGCAGTGGACATTGTCTAAATGGACTTCACCAAGGCATTCGACAAGGTTCCACATGGTAGACTGGTTAACAAGGTTAGATCACATGGAATACATGGAGAGCTAGCCAACTGTACACAAAATTGGCTCGAAGGTAGGAGACAGAGGATGGTGGAGGGTTGCTTTTCGGACATAAGGCCTCTGATCAGCAGTGCGCTGCAAGGATCAGTGCTGAGTCCACTGCTTTTCATCAATTACACAAATGATTTGGATGTGAATATAGGAAGCATTGTTACTAAGTTTACAGATAACACTAAACTTGGTGGTAAAATGGACAGTGAATAAGTGTATCTCAGAGTACAATGGAACCTTGCCTGGGCTGAGGAGTGCAGACGGAGTTCAATTTAAATAAATGTGATGTGTTGCTTTTCGTAAAGCAAATTAGGGCAGGACTTATAGACTTGATGGTAGTGTCCCAGGGAGTGCTGTTGAACAAAGTGAGCTTGGAGTGCAGGTTCATAGTTCATTGAAAGTGACATTGCAGATGGAGAAATAAATGAAGAAGGTGTTTGGTATGTTTATCTTTATTGGTCAGTGCATTGAGTAGAGGTCATGTTGAGGTTGTACAGGAGTTTGGTTAGGTCACTTGTGGAATACTGCAAAGGAAAGATGTAAAGAAACTTGAAAAGGTTGAGAAAAGATTACAAGGATGTTGCCAGGGTTGAAGGGTGTGAGCTGTAGGGGGAGGTTGAATAGGCTGGAGCTATTTTCCCTGGAGTGTTGAAGGCTGCGGGGTGACATTTTCGAGGCTTATAAAATTATGAGAGGCATGGATCGGGTGAATAGCCAAGGTCTTTTCCGCAATGTATGGGAGTCCAAAACTAGACAGCATAGATTTAAGGTGACAAGGCAAAGATTTAAAAAGGACCTGAGGGCAACTTTTTTTACACGGAGGGTGGTGCATGTATGGAATGAGCTGCCAGAGGAAGTGGTGGAGGCTGGTATAATTACAACATTTAAAATACATCTGATAGGTACGTGAATGGGAAGGGTTAAGAGGGTCATGGGCCAAATACAGCCAATTGGGACGAGATTAATTTTGGACATCTGGTCGGCATGGATGAGTTTCCATGCTGTGCATTTCTATGACTCTATAACTGTGAGTCAGGAGTGTGATGGACTCGAAACGTTAACTCTGATTTTCTCTCTCCCTCTCTCTCCACAGATGCTGTCAGACCTGCTGAGTTTCTCCAGCCCTCTCGGTGTTGTTTCAGATCTCCTGCATCCACAATACTTTGTTATTCATTATGTAAAAATTGGCTTGAGTACTGACACCGTGGATTTCATCAATATGTCATGTGGTGGAGCCAAACTGGGACTCGACATACCTTCTCGTATTTGTAGAATTATCATTTGCCCTGAAAATAGACAATTAGATAAAATTGATAAGTTTTGTGGGTTTTATGGCAACAAAGAGAAAACAATTCAGTGGTTTTACCTTTGAAAATTGCTCTGCCTAAAAGTCATGCTTTAAAATGCACCTATGTATTTGTCCTACATCCTGAAATGTTTATTAACAAAGTCTGGAGATGTCTTTCCCATCGTCCAAAAGAAATGCGATTGGGAAGTAGATTCAGGGCTGAGCGAGAAATTTTTAATCAGGAAGGGAATCAAGGGTCAGAGGGAAAAGTGGAGTTGAGGATGATCAGATCAGACACGATCTCATGGAATGGTGGAGCAGACTCGATGGGGTGAATGGCCAACTGCTGATCAAGTGCTTTAGCATGATAGCTCTTATTTTCATTTGTTCAGCGGTGATGCATAATAAGGCTCACTTGTTGTCACACACATGACGTCAACTTGAGAACAAAAGTGCATGTGTGTGTGCGCACATGAGAAAAATAGTGTGGGTGTGTGCGTGATCAAAAGTGTGTGAGAGAGAGAATGTGCATGTGTGTGAGCGAGGGAGAGAATGAGGGTGTGTGTGCACGAGAGAGAGAGTGAGAGATAGAGAGGAGTCTGTGTGTATGTATCTGAGAGAGAGAGGATGTTTTGTGTGGGAGAGGAAGGTTTGCATGTGTGAGACAGAAGTCTGTATTTGTGTGCGTATGAGAGAGGAATCTGTGTGTCTGAGAGACAGTCTGTGTGCGTGTGTGTGTACATGCATGCAGAAAAGACAGGAATCTCTGTGTGCGCGCGCGGGAGCATGTGTGTGTGTGCGTGAGAGAGAGAGAGGGGTCTGTTTGAGAGAGAGGTTCTGTGCCTGTGTGTTTATGTATGTGAGAGAGAGGAGTCTGTGTGTGTGTGAGAAGTGTGTGAGTGTTTGTGTGTGTGGGAGAGAGAGGAGTCTGTGTGTGTTTGTGTGTGTGACAGCGAAAGAGTGAGACAGAGAGGTATCTGTGTGTATGTGAGAGGAGCCTATGTGTTTGTGTGTGTATGCACGTGAAAGTAGAATCTGTGTATGTGAGAAAGAAATGTGTGCTTTGTGTGTGTGAAAGAGCGTCGGCATGCATTATTATGTATGTAGGTGTGAGAGAGAGATAGGGAGACTGTGTATTCATGTGTGAGAGTGCGGACGTGTGTGAGAAAGGGGCAGAAACTGACAGAGATGGAAGGGATACAGACCAAGGAAAGCAGAGAGTGAGGGATGGAGAGAGAAAGAGAAAGAGAGCGAGACAGAGACAGAAGAGGGCTAAAGAAAGAGAGAGAAGGAGGGAGCGTCGTGGAGGGAGAGAGAGAGACAGAGGGAAAGAAAAATAGAAAGGAGGATAGAGAGAGGGGGAGAAAGGGAGAGGGAGGCAGAGGGAGAGTGAGTGAGAGATGGAATAGAGAAATGGGAGAACAAGACAGAAGATAGAGAAGGAAGGAGAGTCTGAGAGGGAGGGACAGCGTGCGAGAGACATGGAGAAAGGGTGGTGAGACAGAGAGAAATAGAACAAAAGGGACAGGATGAGGGAAATAGAGTGTCAGGAAAGGGAAGGAAGAGAGAGGGGGTAGGGTAGAGAGAGCATAACAAAGAATGACAGTGAGAGGGAAAGAGAGGGAGGGAGAGAAAGAAAAAGATGAGAGAAAGAGAGACAGTGATAGAGTGTTTAGAGAGACAGACAGAGAGAGAGAGAGACAGTGAGGAAGAGAGTGAGAGGGATAGGGACAGACAGATGGAAGAAAGAAAGATAAAGAGAGAGAGGATGGATAAAGAGAGAATGAGTGTGGGAGCAAGAAAAAGAAGAGAGAGAGTTGGGAGACAGAGAGAAAATGGGAGGGGAGACTGAGATAGGGAGATGGGTCAGAAAGAGAGAGAGAGAGAAAGAGGGAGAGAAAAGTTCTAGGGACCTGGATTTAATTCCCATCATGTGCAGAGAGCAAAAATGGAATCCTATAAAAATATGGAATAAAAAGTGAAGGTAATTAATGCTGGGCCCAACCAACAATGCCTACATCCTGTGAATGAATTCATTTTTAAAAAAGACACGCCGATTATTAATGAGATTGAGATTGAAACATCCATTCGGCCTCTCAAGCCTGCTGCACCATTCAACATACATCATTCTCTATCTCAAAGCCATAAAGAAAGAGAAAACATTTCAATGGTTTTACCTTTGAAAATTGCTCTGCCTGAAAGTTATGCTCTAAAATGCACCTATGTATTTATCCTACATCCCACTTTGTCTTCATTCTGCTTGGTTCTTTTCAAATCTAGACAATTATTTATCTCCTCAGATTTATTTTTGACTCACCCTCCACATCATTTTGTGGCTGAGAATTTTACAGGCCCACTCCCCTCTAGGGGAAGATATTTCTCCTCATCTCAGCCCTACTCCATCTCCTTTAGACTGCACCTCCCTGGTCCTGGACTCCTCTTAATCAGGGGGAAACATGCTCTCTGCATCGAGTCTGTCCAGCACTGGTAGAATTTTCAATCTGATCCCCTCTTCTCAAAGAACAAAGAACAAAGAAAATTACAGCACAGGAACAGGCCCTGTAAGCCTGTACAGACATGCTGCCTGTCACAACTAAAACCCCCTACCCTTCAGGGTACCGTATCCCTCTATTCCCATCCTGTTCATGTATTTGTCAAGACGTCCTCTAAAAGTCACGACAGTATCTGCTTCCACTACTTCCACCAGCAGAGAGTTCCAGGCACCCACCACCCTCTGTGTAAAAAACTTGCCTCGTACATCACATTTAAGCCTTGCCCCTCGCCTTCTTCTTCTCCTTCTAAACTCTAGCGAATATAGCTCCCACTCAAATCAATCTCTCCAGATAGGACAATCTTGCCATCCCTGCTATCAGCTTAGTGAACTTCTGCTTCACTCCTTCTCTGGAAAGGATATCCTTTCTTCTGTAGTGCGACCAAAACTGCACACAATACTCCAGGTGTGGTCTCACCGAGACCCTGTATAACTGCAGTAAGACAACCCTACTTCCAAACTCTAATCTTCTTGTAATGAAGACCAATGTCCCATTTGCCTTCCTAATTACTGGCCGTACCTGCACATGTACTTTTATTGACACTCTGATCCCTTTGTACATCCACACTTCCCAGTGTATCATCATTTCAATCATATATGCTTTCTGTTTCTCCACACCTGAAGTGTATCATTTTACATTTAGCCATGTTGTACTGCATCTGCCATGAGCTTGCCCCACTCACTCAATTTGTCTAAATCACCTCCATTGTGCCCTCCTCACAATCCTGCCCAGTTTTGTGTCATGACCAAATTTGGAACTGATGCATTTTGCTCCCTCATCCAGGTCACTAATAATATATTGAGAGTGGCTGGGCCCCAAGTGCTGATCCCTGTGATATCCCACTAGTCACTACTTGCCTCTCAGTAAAAAGAGCCATTTATTCACACTCTGGTTGACAGACAGGAAACAATTCTCAATCTACAACAACATATTATCCTCAATCCCTTGTATTTTGCACTTTGCACAGGAATCTTCTATCAAAAAAACAAATTTCTGAAAAATCAAATATACTACATCGACTGGTTCTCCCTCATCCATCCTTTGACCCTCAGAAAGCGCCAGTCAATTTATTAAGATTCATTTGCCTTTCATAGCCCCATTTTGGCTTTTGCCAATCCTTGTAATGCTTTTTAAGTGTTCTGCTGTCACATCTTTTATAATTGATTCCAGAATTTCCCCTACAAACCAATGTTTGGTTATCTGGTCTATAATACTCCACTATATTTTTGTCTTTCTGCCTCCTTTTTAAACAGAGGGATTGCATTAGCTCCCCTCCAATATGTGTGAACTGTTCCAGAGCCTACGGAATCTCGGAACACGACCAACAATGCCCTCATTTTGTCGAGTTTTTTTTAAAATTCATTCATGAGATGAGGGTATTGCTGGCTGGGCAGCATTTATTGCCCATCGCTAATTGCTTAGAGGGCAGTTCAGAGTCAACCACATTGCTGTGGGTCTGGAGTCACATGTAGGCCAAACTAGGTAAGGATGGCAGTTTCCTTCCCTGAAGGAGGCAAGAGGGGATTTTCTGACAATCGACAATTAGATTCTCAATTCTAGATATTATTGAATTCAAATTCCACCATCTGCCATGGCAGGTTTTGAACCCGGGTCCCCAGAATGTTATTTGATTCCCTAGATTAACAGTCTATTAATAATTCCACTGGGCCATTGCCTCATCTAGTTCCAGTTCCTTAAGCACACGGAGATATGGATTTAGCAACCTTCAATCCCATCGATTTCCCCAATACTATTTCCCTACTAACACTGATTTCTTTCAGTTCCTTCCTCTCACTAGACCTTGGTTCTCTAGCATTTTCTGGGGGCGTACTTTTCCTCTTTTGAGGAAGACATAACCAAATTGTGTTTTCAAACCTTCTGCCATTATAATATCCCCAGATTCTAACTGTAAGGGACCTATGATTTTCTTCACAAATACTTTTCTCTTCACGTGCTTCCAGAAGCTTGTACAGTCAGTTTTTATGTTCCCCGTAATTTTATGCTCATTCCTTGTTTTGCTGCTCTTGAACAAAACTTTTGTCCTTGTTTTCCAAACTCTAAATTTAATTGCACAAATTAATTCACACACATACATTCACAAGCACACACTCGCTTTTTATACATTCATGAGATATGGGCATCACTGCATGAACCAGCATTTATTGCTTGTCCCTAATTGCCCACACGTGATTAAGAGTCAACCATTTTGGGGTGGGTCTGGAGTCACATGTAGACCAGACCAGGTAAAGATAGCAGATTCCTTTCCTGAAGGACACAGTGAACCAAATGGGGTTTTCCTGATAATTGACAATGATTTCCATCGGATCAACTTCTTTTTTGTTAAATACAGCTTTGCTTTTTGAAAAAATTCAAATTTTAACCATCTGCTGTGGTGAGATCCAAAACTCAGACTGAGGTTCTGACTCCATTGTCGACTGACTTAGCAAACTGACTGACTGACTGAGTGACTCACATACAGACACACAAACGCATACAAATTCTCATCCACACCGCGCACGATCTCTGACTCTCTCACACTCTCTGGCTCACATTCTCTCTCTCTCCCTCATGCTCTCTCTTTGCCACACACTCTCTCGCGTGCCCTCACAATCTCTTTGTCCCCACACAGTTTCTCTCTCACATACATATGCACAAACATTTCCATACTTGTGCACTGATAAGAATCATGTATATCCCATGTGTCTGGATTTACATGTCAAGTTGTGTCACACACACCATTTTTACAAAGTTCATTGATCATTGCAGCGTTTGACAAAATTCATTTCCTTTTCAGAAATACATCAGATTCAAGTGACTGAACAGAATATAGTGACTGGCCCGAGGGATTTCCCCAGTATCTCTTTATCCCTTAACTGACACTGTCTCCAAGAGATCAAAACCATTTGGAATCAATGAGAAACCTGGCAAAGGAAAGCAGAGGGGCTTTCCACAGACATAATTCTCTCAAGCAATCTCTATCTTTTTAGCACGTCCTCTCTCACACACATTCTCTCTCAGTCTCTCTCTGGTCTCTCACACGTGCATGAAATAGGTGTGAGACAGTGCATGAGAGAGTGTGAGCGAGATAGTGTATGAAAGAGAATATATGGGAGAGACAGTGTGTGTAAGAGAGACAGTGTGTGTAAGAGAGACAGTGTGTGTAAGAGAGACAGTGTGTGTAAGAGAGACAGAATCAGAGAGAGTATATGCGACAGTATGTGAGAGAGAGGGTCAGCGAGACCGAGAGAGAGAGAGAGAGAGAGTGAGTGTGTGTGTGAGAGAGAGACAGAGCATGAGAGAGAGACAGAGCGTGCGAGAGAGAGACAGAGCGTGCGAGAGAGAGACAGAGCGTGCAAGAGAGTCAGAGAGAGGCAAAGAGGGAGTGTGCCTGAGAGACTGCATTTGTTAAACAGTCTGGGAAATGCCAGCACACATATGCAATGCTATCTGTCCACAGTCTTGATGGGAGTGTGTCTGTTCACATTCTGGTTGTGCACTGAGCTGAGGGCAGGAGCCGAGTGACGGATTTGTCCCTTGCGGCCACTCGGAAATGGTGATAAAAGCTGGAGGTATGTATCGAGCAGCAGGAGAGTGGTGAGGATCTCCATCGCTGTGACCTGTCTGTTTGGGGTGTGCATTCAGTCAGTGACTCAGTCTGCTATTTCCTGCTTCTCTGATCCTAATGGTGGCAGGGGAGCACAGCCAGATAGTCTGAGAGAGATCAAGGTGGGACACAATGGTCAGTCACTGGTACCTTTCTGCCCCAATCGCCCTCCATTCCCCTTCCTGATTCAAAATCTCAGCCTTCAATAGACTCGACGACCCAGCCGAGATGGTAAAAAAATTCAACAGATCGACTCTGCTCGGAGAGAAGAAGTTCCTCCTCATCTCCGTCTTCAATGGGTGACCTCCCTTATTCTGCGATGATGCTTCTCTGGTCCCAGACACTCCCACATAAGGGGAAACAACCTCTCTCCGCATCTCCCCTGTCAAGTCCCTCTAAGAATCTTCAATAAGGTCACCTAAACTTCAGCAGGGACAGGGGCCTGACCTACTCAACCTCTCCCTCATCAGACAGTCCCTCTGTACCTGGGATCAGCTGAGTAAATGTCCTCTGGATCTGCCTTTCAAAGCAACACTGACATCTCCAACCTTTCTCAACTCGTTCAAACTGAGCAGTGCCCCTGAAATCAATCCAGATATTGCCCTTCTCTTTCTCTCACTGTCCTTCTTACCACAGTGACGCTAAAATGTCTCATTCAGACAGGCAATTGGTAAACGGTTTTTGAGTTCTCCCTAGGTGTTTTGTTTTAACAAAAGACAAAACAATTATGAGTTGGCAGGGTCAGGTTTCCACAGACCCAGGATGTTTTTTTAAGTTAGTTGAAGACTTCTGCTGGCTGGCTGCTGAGCTAAAAGCTGGAGTTCTCTGCTGTTAGAGTGAAGTCTTAGACAGTGAGGCTCCCTCTTAAATATCAAAACAGGAAGATTGTTCCTTTCTTCTGGACTGCAGAGAGGCAGCATGTGAGATTCATAACTGAGAATTATTACTGAATTGCATTTTTGCCAAAGGGTGTATGTATAGGATTCTGTCTATTTTGGAACAGTTGCTGATTACTGGTTAAATATTTCAATAAAGTAAAGTTACACAAATTCTTCTTTCTGTTATATTTTAATAGTGCTATCAGAATAAAGTGTGTTTCACTCATGTTTACGAGTGGACCAATCAAATCAGAGAGTCTTAAAGCACAGAAACAGACACTTCAGCCCAACTCTTCTGTGCTGACCCTGTTTCCCAAACCAAATTAGTCCCATTTGCGTGCATTTGGCCTATATCCCTCTAAACCTATCCTAAAATATGCCTGTCTGAATGTCTTTTAAACGTTGTAACTGTTTTGGAGTAGATTTGTAGCTCGGGTTGTGGGTGTTGTGGTTGGTTGGCTCGCCGAGCTGGTTCATTGTTCCGCAGAAGTTTCATTACCCTGCTGGGTTACATCATCAGTGCAGCCTCTGATGAAGCGCCGCTGTGTTTTCCCGCCTGGTTTTTAAACTCTGGAATCCGTTGAGCTGGATTGCCTCACTTCCGGTTTTTCTTCGTGGTGGAGTGTATACGGGGTCGAGTTCAATGTGTTTATTGATGGCTTTCTTCATGGAGTGCCAGGCTTCTAGGAATTCCCGTGCCTGTCTCTGCTTCACTTGTCCCAGGATATTGGCATTGTCCCAGTTGAATTGGTGGATCTCCTTTTCCATGTGGATAGAGATGAGTGAGTATTATCATATCACTCATCTCAATCCACATGGATAAGGAGAACCACCAACTCGACTGGGACAACGCGAAAATCCTGGGACAAGCTAAGCAGAGACAGGCACGGGAATTCCTTAAGCCTGGTACTCCACAAAGAAAGCTATCAACAAACACATACAGCTCAACCCCATTTACATTCCATTGCAAAGAAAAGCTGGAAGTGAGGTAATCCAGCTGGGCGAACACCAGAGTTGAAATAACAGGTGGGAAAACATAACAGCGCTTCATCAGAGGCTGCATTGATGATGTTACCCAGCAGGGTAATGAAACGTCTGCGGATCAACAAACCAGCTCGTGAGCCAACCAACCACGACATTGTAACTGTACCCACCTCTATCATTTCCTCTGCTCGCTTGTTCCATATACGCACCACGTTCTGTGCGAAAACGTTGCCTCTCGGGTCCCTTTTAAATCTTTCCCCTCTCACATTAAACCTCTGCCCTCTCGTCTTGAACTTCCCACCATGTGGAAAAAAAAGATTTTGGCTATTTATCTTATCCGTGCCCCTCATGATTTTGTAAACCTCTAAGACCACCCTTCATCCTCTGACACTCCAGGGAAAGTAGCCCCAGTCTATCCAGCCTCTCCTTATAACTCAGATTCCCCAGTCCCGATAACAGCCTTGTAAATCTTTTCTGCACCCATTCCAGTTTAATAACTTCTTTTCTACAGGAGGGCGACCAGAATTGTATGCAGTACTCCAAATGTGGCCTCACCAATGTCCTGTACAACCGTAATATGACATCCCTACCCATCTACTAAATGCACAGACTGTTGAAGGCAAGAGTATCTGGAACGTAACACCTTACACTCTAATTTTTTATATATTTTTTAAAAAGTCGAGTCTGACTATTTCTAATAATATACTTTGGGGCATGTGCTCTGGTTGATAACAGAAGAATAGCTCAGAGCTCTGTGAATCATTAAATAGAATGGGGAAGTGGACTTTGTCAGGAACTAATGATGGTCCGGTGGTTGTGGGGTAGGGGGGATTGTGCGATGCTGGTGGGGAAGCAGGTGTTAACAGAAATTCTGGAAGGTAGGTACCATAGACTTTCCCTTCCTTAATCAGCATGTTCATTTGATTCAAACAGCAATGAAGGTGGACATGGAGAGATTGGGGAATTGGTTCTGTCAGGGGTCCATATCCGCCCCCCCCAATTCTCTCTCTTTCTCCTCTGTTGAGATGGGAGGACGCCAATATCGAATGTTCCCAAAATTCAATAGGAGGTTAAGTAGTGCTCCAATCCCCTACCCCTGAGGAGAGGACTGTCAACTCTCTGATACCAGCGTGTTCTGTTTTGCGAAATGGCCCAGGAGGCCCAATCATGGAGGCCCAGATATGTCATGGGAATAGGAGAAGGTTGTTCGGTCCTTTGCACCTATTCTAGGCCCCAAGGCTCAATTATCTAATGCCCCCAACCACTAGATCCCTGCATGGCCCATTCCTATCTGACTCCCCGTCTGACCGCCCTTCTCAAATTGAAACAGCCTCTGCCACACATTTCCAGGCAGTGCATTACAGACTCCTCACTCAGTGGAAACATTTCTTCCTCACTTCACCCCAACTTGCTCCATTTGTCGCTCACTTTAAATCTACACCTCTCTCCTCCACCACATTCCTGTTTCTTTTACAAGCTGGATCAGCTTCGACATCAACCCCCCTACCCCCACCCCATCCCCTCTGCCCAGCTCCAGTTCTTAGGGCGAAATGGGATCGAAGCCACTCTTCCTCATCTCGATTATCAATCTGCCCATCACTTTCTCCTGAAACAATGACCTTTTGTTCTAGATTGTCCTGCATGAGGAAACATCCACAAAATACTGTTTTATACCCTTAGCAATCACACATTGCATTTAGTGGCAGGACACGAGGGAGCTCAGAGGAATCTTGGGGTGTTTCTCTGCAGATCCCTGAAGGTGGCAGGACAGATTAATAGAGCACTTAAGAAGGCATACAGGACACTTGCCTTTATTCTTTTTAATTCATTCATGGGATGAGGGTGTCGCTGATTATGCAGCATTTATTGCCCACCCTAATTGGCCAGATTACTGTGGGTCACATGGAGGCCAGGCGAGGTAAGGATGGCATTTTCCTGCCCTAAGGGACATTAGTGAACCAGATGGATTTTTCCAATCATGGATTCACAATCATCATTAGACTTGTAACTCCAGATATTTTTATGTGCGCCAGCAGGATTTGAACCAGGGTTCCCAGGCATTATCTGGGGCTCTGTATTGACAGTTGAGTGATAATATCAGTGGGCCATCACCTCCTCAGTTGAGGTATAGATTATAAGAGCGGAAAAGTGATGTTAGAGGTTTACAGGACATTGGGGAGTCCACAGCTGGAGCATTCTGTGCAGTCCGGTCTCTGCGCTTTAGGAAGGGTGTGTTTGTTCTGAAGGGGGTGCAGAGGAGATTCCCCAGGACGTTGCCTAGGATGGAGCATTTCAGTGATGAAGAGAGTCTGGATAAACTCCGGATGTTTTCTTTAGAGCAAAGCAGGCTGAGCGGGGACCTGATAGATGTGTGTAAGATTATGAGGGACATGGACAGGGGGAATAAGAAGCAACCGTTCCCCTTAGTCAAAGAGTTAATAACAAGAGTGAAATAACTCCACAGAGGCTGGTATCCCATCACTAAGTCACCCTTTATCCACACATGGAAAGTCCTTGACACTGAGCCTGCTCCCTCAATGCCAGCTCGCAGAATGAACAGAACCCCCGCCATTCCTGTTTATAGGGCTCCGTGATTGGACCAGGATAACAGCCCTAATCTGGGAATTCATACTCGATGAGGTCCACCTTCAATTTAAAAACCCTTGGATGACCTTGGTGGAATTCAGCCATATCTGGAAGTGACCTTTGCTCAGGACAATCACTGTTGCTCTCGATAATAATATTGCCATCCTGTATTGTGATCTGGTCTCTCCAGGCCCAGAAAGGTTTTAATTATGGTTGTGATTGCCCTCTGGCTTCCCGAATCACCAGCAGCTGGTCCGGTTTTGCCAGGACTGGATCTTTCTGAAAACAAAGTCTGATCTTTTCAGCGGTGACTAGAAGTGTGTTCAGAAAATTTAAAGCCATTATGGACACCTCCAGTGACGGCACTTTCAGCAGCGTATCTTCCAGTGGGAGGTTACTCACTGCATCCGCATTTGCTACTTAGCTGGCCAGATGGTTTTCCAATTTAAGATTAAATGCACTTAGCATTAGAGCCCACCACTGAATTCAGCCTGAAGCCATCGGTGGCACGGCCCTGTCCTCTTTAAATAACCCGAGCAGGGGTTTGTGGTCCATTACTATTAGACATTTACATCTGTAAAGGTATTGGTGAAACTTTCTCACACCAAAGATGAGCACCAAACTGTCATTCTCTATCTGGGCATATCTTCACTTGGCATCAGCCAAAGTTCGGGACGCGTACACTATCGGGTATTTCTCTCTGCTGGGCCACCGAAGAGCCAACAGTGCCCAAATACTGTACAGGGAGGCATCACATGTCAG